AATGATAAGGGATATTTGATAATGTTCAAAAGGTTAATTTGTTGCCACGGTGTAAGAGCCCACACCCCCACTAACAGAGCTTAAAAATGCATGAAGTGAAAGCTAATAGCGCTGGAAGGAAAAATGGACAAGCCCAGAATTATAGTGAGAGATGTCAAAATGCCTTTCTTCATAAATGAAGAAATTTAAAAACATTTAAATTTAACAAATGTAAATACCACCGGTACACAGGGAACCCAAATATGAACATTATAAACTGACTTGACTTAAACGGCATTTGTCGGACTATAGTTGAAGCACTGGTTACAGCTTAAGTTGTTTTATTACAAAGGAAGACCCCAAAACAGTGATCCAAGTTTGTCATTTAAGAAGTACAAAGAAAAAAATAATTCATGGAATAGAAAAAAGAGAAACTACTGGTCCTATTAAAAGGAAAACAAGGGGATATAATGAATAACTTTATTTCAATAAATTTGGTAACTTAGATGAAATGGTCAAATTGGTTGGAGGCTAAGTATTAAAACTGACATAAGAAGAAACATTAAAAATCAGTTCTATGGAGCTAGCAGGTAGAGTAGTGGTTAGGGAGCTGGATTCCCACGTGGCCCACTGTGCAACAGACCAACATATTCTATATGAACACAGACATGCGCACAAAAATTTTTAAAAAGACTGGGACCAGCAGATGGTGTAATGATTACATTGCTGGACTCCCACGTAGTCAACCACAGTTCAGGTCCTGGACCCGGTAGCCTAAATCTCATGCCAGGCGTGTGTGCATGCGTGCCCAAGATCTTGAGAAGAGAATGGAGGAGAAGGGATTGTGGTGTGGCCATTGCTCCCTGCCCTCCCACCCTGGTGATTTCTTGTTTTCTGTCTCTGTCTCTCTGGTGAGCACACACACCCTACAGCAAAAATCTCTCTTAAAAAAAAAAAAAGGTTAGCAAAGTGAATACAACAACATATAAAAAGGATTATATACCATGATGAAAAGGGTTTTATACTAGTAATGCAAAGAGCTTAACATTAAGAAAAAAACACCAAAATATAGCAAAATAAAAGCAAAAATCGTATGATCATCTTGATGGATGCAGATGAAGCATTAAAAAAAAAAGTCCAATATCAGGGGCTAGCAAGTGGCATGGTGGTTAAGGGCACTGGACTCCCACATGGCCAATTGCGGTTCGAGTCCTAGACTTGGTGGCTTGCTTTCTCTCTCACTCTCTTTCTCTCTGTCCCTCTCCAGTCATAAATAAATAAATAAATAAATAAATAAAGAAGTTAAGTACAATAATTCTTAAAAAAAAAAAAAAAAAAAAAAAAAGCAAAAGGAACCAACAGTAAGCGAAA